GGCAGCACTCGCTCTTTCCTCCTTCATACATGCACTCTTCGAGCTGGAATCGTATGCTGTTGCCCGTATGGTCTTGAAAGAGAACAAGCCCCCTGTCATAGTTGTGCTTGCGCCATCAATCGAACCCGACTACGAGTGTCTCCTCGAAGCGCAATTGCCATTCGCAGAAGACGTTCGAACATACCGCTTCCCTCCACTCGACAGGGTCGTCACAGTGTCCGGTAAAGTGGTGACGCAGCATCGCAACCTACCCAGCGACGATTTGCTGAATGCAATGGATAAATACGTGAAAAGCATGGAGCTTACCGATACGGACGAGAACGGGTGAGCATGACTAGAAGTCATACTAACTTCACTGCTGACTTTGTACCAAGTGACCCGACGGAATCTCTCCCAATTGATGACTCCTTCTCACCAGTCTTACACCGCATCGACTCCGCCGTCCGTCACCGCGCCATCCATCCTAACGACCCTATTCCTCCCCCTGCCCCAGTTCTAACCAAGTTCTCCCACCCTCCGGATGACCTCGTTGAGAAGTCCAAGAAATACCTAGACAAGCTAGTAGCAGTATCAGAGGTCAAGAAAGGTCAGTCCCCTTCCCCCTTCCCCCTTCCCCCTTCCCCAAAGCACCCTCATACTCACAGTGATGATTCCAGTCCCACCAAAAACCAAAGGCACCAAACGGTCCCGTGAAACGGAGAAACCACTATCTGGTCTCGACGTGGATGCCCTTCTCCACCAAGAAAAGCGCACGAAGATATCACCAAACAACGCCATCCCTGAATTCAAGCAGACGCTCTCGCAGGCAGAGAACATCGACACAATCAAGGATGCAGTGAAGCAGATGAGCACTATCATCGAAGACCAAATCAGACATAGTCTTGGCGATGCTAATTATCATCGGGTTACTGAGGGGCTGGGTGTGATGCGGGAGGAACTGATCGATTATGAGGAACCTGCGCTGTATAATGATTTCTTGAAGCAGCTGAAGGAGAAGTTGTTGAAGGAGGAGCTTGCCGGGGATAGAAGGGAGCTGTGGTGGCTGCTCAGGAGGAGTAAGTTGGGGTTGATTGACAAGGGGGAGTCGGATCGGTCTGAGGTGGAGGAAGAGGAGGCGAAGGCGTTTATATCTATGGCTGCTAAGTGAAGACTCGGGTATTCTGATATGGCTTAGTTCTCCAGGAAGAGTATCATAGCCAGAACTGCAAACCAGACTTATTTTTACCTGTCAAATAGTGGACAATGGTTGGATCATGATAAATGAACAAGCTTCAATGATGCATGACTGTGCTCGCTAGAGTACAATATCCACGATAACCCTGTGCGCTAAGTGACAAGGCGTATTCCGTGCCAAAGTAACACACACACATAACATATAATACCAACTTTGATGAACAATATAGGGGATATCAACCATGACCATGAGTAGAAATAGACATCATAAACAATCATAGCACCCTATCCACATCAAGAAATTCTCCCAATCCTTTTCTTCCCAATATCAATCTTCCCGCCCAACCTGTACCAAATTAGCAAAATCCCCAAAAGAATGAAATGTGGAAAGACATACCTGGTAGCATCCTCATCCGCCAAATTCAACAACTCATTCTGCACCTGCAACTCATTATTAATGGCAATCCCCAGCTCCTTCTGCCGATTAACAATCCTCATCAACTCATCGACCGCAACATCCTGATCCTGCATCATCTGCTTCTGCAACTGCACCACCCCACTATTATCCAATTCACGCGTCCTCTCCGTCTCCCTCCCCAACACCCTTCCAGACGACCTAATCGCCTTCTTCCCGCCCTGCGTCCCCATCAACGCCTCCTTATCCTGAATCGACGCCACCGCACTATCAATCCGACTCTTCGCCGCCATAGCATTCAACAAATCCTCCAGCCCATCTTTCTCTTTCCTCGCGTTAATCAGTAGATCCTTCCGTCGTCGCATCTCCCCTTCCCCGAGGGTATTGTTCCCACTAACGCTCCACGCCGTGGCAACAGTCGTAGCGGTATTCCTGCGCCCGAGTTTACTACCCGGTCTTGACCCTGCATTATTATTATGATTCTCCTCCCCCCCACCAGAAGAAGTACTCGAGTTACTCAAATTCCTCAACCCACTCTCCAAACTCCCAATCAACCCTCCCGCCCTAACAAGCTCGCTCTTCGCCCTCGCCGAACTCTCATGCTGTCGCTGCGGCGTAGTCTCCTGATCCCGTCTCGTCAAATACAACCTCGCATCATGTAAATGTCCCTTCATATCCCTGAAACAATCCAGCCAGAGAATCGGGTCCGTGATGCCGCCGCCTTCTGAGTCGCCCGGGTCGGTGATTGCTGCGTGGAGACGGGTACTTGCCCCAGTACCGCCACCACCACCAGTGCTATTGTTGTTGGAAGGTAGGCTCGGAAGATTCAGAAACGCCCGCCATGCGGGGCTGTTCCGCCATCGGGGATCGTCGCTTTCGTTAATCGCGCGGAGGTAGGCTTCTAGTGCTTCGCGGCGGGATTCGCGCAGGGTGGCGTTGTTGATGGTGTTCTGGAACCAAGATTTCGGGGGGAGGGGGGCCGGTGGGGGCGCATTTGTTTGCGAGGTTAGGGTGTTGTGGAAGGTTGTGAAGTCGGAGTAGCGCTTTGAGATGGTGAATGATCGGAGAGGGAGGCGGAGGGTGATGTTGTAGAGGGTGTAGGGAGGTTGGGTTGCGGAGATGCTGGTTGTGGGGATGGTGATTTCGAGGGTTGTGGGGGGCATTGTTTCTGGTTTCTTGTTTTGGGGGTGGTGGAGGTGGAGTTTGGTGTTGGTGGTGGATGATGGAGTTATTGGGGCATTGTTTGCGTTGGATTTGAGGAGTGAGTGTAGATGGTGGGTGATGGTGAAGCGGTGGAGGATGAGATGCGCTGATAAGGAAGTAAAGTACTAAGAGTAAGTCACCGCCGGATCACAACAATGACGCAAGGTCATTAGTTACCGCTTACCTTCGGGGCTGCCTGCGCATAACTATCACACTCGAGTAGCGATATGATTAGGCTTCAATTTAATACATTTAATTTGTATTAGACTTTCCTATATTACTGGGTATCTTGTTTGACTAAATTGGTGGATCACTCAACCTTTCTCTCGTCATGCGGTAGCCTCGGGCCCATTCCATAGCTCGCGTGCTCCCAGCAGGTCCCGTTGCCCATAATACTCCCCGATGACCGTGATAATCATGTCCAGCATGGCGCGAGTCTGTGTCGCCGCTTCATTCGTAGGTTCTTCGTTGTTAACCTCGGGTTCGGTGACTGCGGGTTGCTCCTCTCCACCTGCGAGCTTCGCCTGGAGTCGTGCTTTGGCTGCCTCTAGCTCCTCAGCAGTAGCAGGCTTCTCTTCCTCCACATCCTGCATATCGTGATCCTGGTCGTCACTCGGCCCATCCACTTGTTGTGCTCCGTCCTCTCCCTCTGCAGCGTTTTCCCCCGTTTCGTCTTCAGCGTCTTCCTCATCCGACCCGTCTCCCTCCTGCATCTTCTTCTCATCCTCCTCCCTCATCTTCCTCAGAATCTTCACAGCTCTCTTTCCCAGATCCCGAATCTCCCCAACCTCCTCCGTACCTAGCTGTCCAACATCCCTACACTTCCCCAACAACCCCCACGCCCAAGCCCGATGCGTCGAACCCGTTGCGCATCCCCACTCCGTACATTCTCCGACATTAACCGCGCCATGATCTCCAGTACACCCAGCACACTCTCCATATCCATACACGCCAGCTGTACAGTCTGTGGATCCACCGCCAGGAGTAGTCGGCGCCATTCCTTGCGCGCGTTTCGCGAGTGTCGCGGCAGACTGATCGGGTGGGATTCATCGAGCCCAGCGATAGCTTCGGAGGGAGGTGTACATTTCAGTATCGATCGAAGAAGCAAGAAGCGATGGTGAAGGAGGTTGTAGTAGCTTGATTGGGCGTCGGAGATGCCCTCGTCGGCGACATCCGCAGCAGGGGCGGCAGTAATGTTGGTCTTAGACGTATGAGGAACAAAGTAGACCCCATCAACAACAACCCCCTCAGGAACAGGCTCTGATACATCCTTCACCTCCTCATGCTGTTGTTGCGGTTCCCCACCATTCTGCACCTGCTCCTGCTGCTGCTCCTGCTCCGTCGCAGCAGTCGATTCGGTCGTTTGCGGTGCCGTAAACAAAAAAGGGAGTGAATTTGCTTCCGATCTACAACAAACCAGAATAAAAAAAAATGAGCCACGTCACATCACATCACATCACATCGCCGAATTCAAGAAATGCCGAAGGAGGCCATCTTTCGCGAGCTAAAGTCCGAAACACGCAGGCATTTAGCAAGCGGGAAGCGAAAAGAGCCGAAACAGAAGAAAATACAAGCAAAAGGAAAGCATCAAGAAAGGAGAGTCAAACTTACCGAACCATGCGTAGATATTCCAAGCCATCTTCAGCAGGCCCGTAGAATAACTCATCATCACCCGCGACGTCTAGACCCGGAAAAGCACTCTTTTGGCCGTATACTGGGTGGTTGCGCGGGCGTTCGTATGGAGTCACGGTCGGCTGTGCTTCTTCTTCGTCATCTTCTTCGGCATAGGACGGGCGGGAACGTTTCGCGTAGGGAGAGTAGCCGGTGACTGAGCCGGACGGTTTGCGTTTGTCGGGCATGTTGGTCATGGTCTGATTTGCTTGTTGGGTTGGAGTTGGGGGAAGCGAAAGTTCAGGCGGAGAAAATGCCGGTGATCCAATGTTTCCCCCCCGGGAGCTTGGGCCACTTTTTACTTACTACGGAGTATAGGGGAGCCACTATGACAACACTGTCAGAATTCTACCTATGATAAGCATCCGTTACTACTACTAGGCGATCGATTCCGTCCTTACCTAGGATCCCAGGTGATCATGCAGTATACAACATAAATTACTGGATAACTCCGCCAGGACCATAGTTTCCAGTACATGCTACTCATATTCTATCTTACAATGAGCTACGCTAACTGGTAGGTATAGACCTTAAAACGCTAAACATTCAATTCGTCGCTCCATTATATTCTTTTGTATCCAGATACAGGTCTTGTAATCTATTGCGGCTCTAGCCACCCGCTTAAGGGCGGAGACGCTGGGGGTCACGGGGGAACAGGGACGCCAGACGAACGTTAGGCAGACCCAGGAAAAACATGACAATACGGTTCAGACCCAGACCACCACCGGCGTGGGGAGGACAGCCCTGGCGGAAAGCAGACAGGTAGTCCTCGAATCCCTCCTGGTTGGGGTTGAGACCCTTGGCGACCATCGACTCCTCCAGCTCCTTGATGTCGTGGATACGCTGGGCACCGGACATGATCTCCTCACCACGCATGAAGAAGTCATACGAGTTGGAGAAGCGGGGGTCCTCCGGGCAGGCCTTGGTGTAGAAAGGACGGACGGCCATCGGGAACTTGTCGAGCACGTAGAAGTCCGTGTCGTACTTGTCACGGATGATCTGTCCCAGCTGCTTCTCCATCGCGGTGGTGAAGTCGTTCTCGAAGCGCTCCTGCTCGGAGACATCGACACCGGCCTCCTTCAGCATAGCAACACCGTCCATGTAGTTCAGGCGGAGAGCCTTGCCATCCTTGGGGAGCTTGAAGTCACCGGCCTTGGGGTAAGACTTCTGGATGATGGCGATCTTGTCAGCGTAGCGCTCCTTGAGCTGGGAGAGGATGAAGACGAGGAGGTTCTCGGCGAACTCCAGAACCTCGTGGTAGTGGCCGCGGAAAGTCTTCTCGAAATCGAGACCAGCGAACTGGCGAAGTCAGTATACGTACGTAAGCTGATGCTTTTGTGGTCATTTGGGCCTACCTCAGTCAAGTGTCTGTGGGTGTTGCTGTCTTCGGCACGGAAGACGGGAGCAATTTCGAAAACGCTCTCCATGTCACCAGCAATGCACATCTGCTTGTACAGCTGGGGACTCTGGGCCAGGTAGGCGTTCTTCTTGAAGTACTTGACCTCAAAGACGTTGCTACCACCTTCGGTAGCCGCACCCACCAGCTTGGGGGTGAAGATCCACCGCGAACCGCTCTTGATCATGTATTCGGCGAACAGTTCGGCGACGCCGCTAGAGATCCAGGTGATAGCCTGGCTGGTTTCGGTCTGGAGATCGAGGACCCGGTTGTCGAGACGGGTCTTGAGAGTGACAATAGGAGCACCATCCTCACCAACCTCGAATCCCTCCTCGCTGGTCTCCGGGGGCGGTCTCTCGGCATCCTTGACCTGCATAGGGAGCATCTGGGCCGCCTCAGAGATCATGTAGACCTTGCGGATGTGGATTTCGTGGTTGCTAAGGGTAGCCGACGAGATGGGCACGGCAGGCTTCTTGATGATACCGGTGACCTGGACAATGGAGTTGACGTTCAATCCACCAGTGTATTTGATCATCTGACGGGAGATGGGCTCCGCAAGAGCAATGACGGCCTGCAGCTTCTGACCCTGCTGTCTCAGCATCAGGAAAGCCAGCTTGGCACTCTGCACACGGGCATTGTCGACGCGAGCCACCAGGGTAACCTCCTGCTCGTAGTGCTCGTCGGAGATGTCGGAGAATCTCGTCGCGGCGATGACATCTTCGGACTCGGGAAGCTTGCCATACAGGTCCTTGGCGGTGTCGTCGGCAGCGGCGGCGGCAGCTTGAGCCTTCTCCTGGGCAGCACGAGCAGCAGCCTTCTCAGCCTTGGCCTTCTCCTTTGCGGCCTTCTTCGCGGCGTTCTTGCTGGCGCTCTTGCTGGCCTCGGCACCCTCGGCGGGGGCGGCCGCAGCGGCGGGGGTTTCTTCGGGCTTGGGGCGAGTGGGCAATTCGGAGTCCGCCATGGTGAAAGGTGTGGATAGGGAGTTGATGAGGGAGAGGAGGGAGCAGCAAGGCGATCAGGAACCAGTCCGTCGGCCTGAATGGAGCTCCAACTTTCTCTTTTGAGTCACCCCGCCGTCCGAGGCCCACAGCCCTAAGCCCTAGGAGGGGCTGTCTATCACCTGATGCGGATGCTGCCATGCCATACGATTATATAATAATGCGCTGCATAATATATGTTGTACTATATACAATTGTGATAGTCTATTCGCTATGCTCGCAGGTGCAGTCGCAGTCTACTTATCAAACACTCGCTCAAAAAAGGAAGACAAATACAAATCTACACCGTTACCTCTAGGACCGCCACTGTGAGTTCTTCAATGCCCACTCGACTGCCTTGTGCACGTTATCAGCGATCGTCGTCGGAGTCCACGCTGGCTCACCACCATTGTAGACACCGGTTCGCACAAGGATCGAGTGCCACTTGCTGCCATGTTCACTCCGGTAGCTGTTCGCGCCACGGATATCTGACTCTGGATTGTCTCCGATCATATACACATTCCGCAAAGGCTGCTGAGCGTCCGAGCCGAATACTCTAGCACGGTTGCGCAAGAGCTGATGCTCCGCAAACTCGTACGTCCCTTGGTAAGGCTTGCCAATAATGGTCTTCTTTAGCTCGACGCCTTTGCTCGGGCCTCCAGTCACAGCAGCCCAGATGCCTTCCAGTGCCTCGCGGAATCCTCCCTGGCCAAGACGAGGAAGGTGGTAGGCTGCAGCCCACCAGAGGTCTGGGTTCGAAAAGTACAGATGCGGCTGCCCATCTTGTTGGAAACCCCGATTAGGAAGATCAGTCCGACCGTTCTTTTCGGAGATGGTGCCTATCACGCCCTCCGACGATAGTAGGACGTCGGTGATGATCTGAGCGTCTAAAGCCCAGTCCCGCGGGTCATTGAAGACAAAGATGGCGTCAATCTTCAACCCTCTCGAGGGGTCACTGGAATCCTTTGGGTTTGGCAATGGCTTAGAAATCTTCTCGTAGTAGCTCTGGAAAGATCTAAAAGGCCAGATAGATGGGTTCGCCATATAGATATCGCCCGGTGTCACCACGTTTTTGAAGCCGTACCTGCATCCATTGTTAAGACGATCATCCACGAAATGTTGGGGACAAACATTGGCCTGCATACATCTGCGCTACCTGGCGACAACGATCACCTTCTCCTCCGACCACCAGCACGCATTTGTTCTCCAGGGCACTCTGCTCGTCCGGCCCGCGCACAAGCTCCGCGAAAGGTGAATGACTCTGAACAATAACCTCCGGCTCCAATGGGACCTGGAGCTTCTCGCTTATTTCCGCCACTCGCTCAGTTTCATGTTTTCCACCACCATTTGTCAGGAGGAGAAACGGGATGTTCTGTTCTTTGAGAAGGGCTAGCGACTCAGCGGCTCCGGGGATAGGTTTAGAGGATCGTAGCAGCACGCCATCGATGCTAAACACCAGTCAGACTATGTGCTACACCAGCGTGGATAGAAGTTGCTTACTCACTCAAATGCAAAGGCGAAGTCGGGGACGCGGGAATTGGCAGTCTGAAAGGCACGTCGGCCCAGACCAGTGTTTACCAAGGAGCGGGTGGAAGTACTCTGCAACAGCGCAAGGGAGCGCCAAAGAGACTGCGATCGCATACTCGAAGTGTAAATAGTAAGTATCTAATAAGTATGAGAAATAACAATCACAAGCAACAGCGGTGAACGAATACAATTGAGCGGATGGGAGTCGTCCGGATGACAGGGAGCTGCAGAAAGAACAGGCCGGAGGAGAGACGTGCGGAAGGCGGAGATGCAGCTGGCAATCGGCGGAATGATATCATCTCGCTTCTCCGCCATTTTCTTTTCCCCTCACATTTTCTTGATCGCCATCCGACTTACTTTTTTGCTTCCCCACCACACAACTTGCATGACTGACACTAGATATATCTGTCGCCCCGGGCAGCTACATATCTCCCCCACCCATGTCTGCGGACTCTTAATTTCGACCTGCCATGGGCATTGATGCATTCCATGATTGCCCATAATGCCTTTGATGCCCTCACGCCAGATTTATCTCCCCACAGAAATCGTGGTGGAGATTATCACCTACGCCGCCGCAGATGATAGTCATCGTCAGGCCACTCTCCACGCCTGCTGCCTTGTCTCACGCCAATGGTATTCCGTAGCCATCCCATATCTCTATGAGAAGCCGCGCGTGAGCGCTGGGACGGCTTTCAAGAATTTCACCGACACAATTTGTCCGACCATCGGCGCACGAAAGAACAAGATACAATTGGGCAGTCTAGTTCACAAATTGGACCTTAGTGGCCTCGTATATCATAGTTCCAACAGTTTGACTGCACGACTACTGGGAAGGGTGAAGGAGAATCTGGAAATTTTTCTGGCCCCAAGAATTTCCTTTGCGTAAGTCTAATATATATGCTCGTTGTGCATGCCTCCGCCCGCTCCAGATACTTGATTCTGATACTATTGAACAGCATCAACAGCCTTCCGGCTCTCTCCAAATGTACAAACATCAGACACCTCGACTTATCGCTAGTGGGCGATCCAATTCCCTTTCCCGACCTCAAGAAAGCGATCAGCAAACTCCGCAGACTAACTACCCTTCGCCTTCCGCGCTCAACCTCCATCATCACCTACGACGACGCTGCAGCCACAATAGAATGGCCTCCTAACCTCCAACGCCTACAATTCAGCGGCCATTACCGTTCCATACCCATGTCTTCCTTTCCTTGGCCTCGCACAATGACTACCCTAACCCTCAAGAACTGCGCCGATCTCTCCATGTCCAGCCTCGGCAGCCTGATGAGCAACCCCCAACTAGCCAACCTGAAACGCTTCACCGTCTCCGCTTCAAACCGTAACCTGCAACCCGAATCCATCAATGCCATTCCAGTCTTCCTCCCTGAACTAGCCTCCCTCAGCATCCCTGGCGACTTAGTCAATGATTCCTTCTTCGATATCCTCAGTCACATGCACCCTCCACTACCGCTCGAGGATCTCGAATTCGGATTCCCAAGTCTAGACGCCAACATAACCTTCAGCACAAGCTCGTTAATCACAGCCATGGAATACGGCTTAGCGAACCTCCGATCGGTGGGCTTCTCTGAGCTGTTCTGCACCAACCAGCGAATTCTGGAAGACACGGAGATCGATGACTTCATTCATAGCCGGTTCTCAAAGAAGGAACGAAGAAATTCCAAATCTTTCTTCAAGAATGGGGTAGAGAAGAGCGATTACACTGATGATGATGACACGATTGGCGTTTATTATATATAATGGTCGGCGTTTCCTTTCTATATACCTTTTTGTTTACTTCCATCAGATGTTTTTTCGACTAGAGTTTGTTTATATATTTTGCTTGTTGAAGATTCAATATGATAGACCGAATGATTTTCCGCACGATATTGCTTCGTCCAATGCTTGGCTATCTACTACTAGTAGTATTAATATAAAAAGCTTCTACAAAACACGAAGCGGAAGCAGAAAATCTCTAAATAAAATGGTAGATAGATATAGTATGATGACGCTTTTGACTACAGAACGACTCCAGCCACTTCCCCGTTCCATCGGCCACCCGGACAAGCGAAACGGGGAATGACACGAAGACAAAGCAAGGGGGGCGAGGACATGCTAACATGTTCGAAAAAATGTCAAGGGGAGGGGACAAACATCGGCAGAGAAAAATGGGGGGAGGAAAGTAAAATGTTGAAAGATACAGTCAGCTGGAACAAGAACAAGTCAGATATGGAAATGAAGAGAAATAGGTAATTCGAATGAATAGGGTAGTTTGACGCCTACGCAAGATATTCATCGCATCTAACTCGGCACCAGAATTATAGATGAAGAGAAAAAAGAATAAAAAGGAAAATGAAAATGAAGCAGGGGGGGAAACAAGAAATATCTGATCTCATAATGCAGGACTCATGCGCCTCGCGAACATGCCTCCTTTACACATTTACAGGGGTCCATGAAGCTCAGGAAACGGACGCAATCACAGCTGGTGCAACTCCTTCTTCCTCCGCCCGGACGACAATCTTCATGGTCACTCCAGTCTTGCTGGAGAAAGCCATCTTAATAAGGGATGCAACCCGGCCGCCTGTCACTGTCTTTCCGAACAGTTTCAGTGTATGCGTGCTGTTGCTGAGGGCCACATCCGTGCCCTCGAGGGGCTGCAGGGAGAGCGTAGAGATTAGTTGCTCGGTGGCATCTGTGATGATATTAGTTTTCGAAGATCTAGGCCCGATGTGGAGAGGGGTTGGCCTACCTGAGATGCCCTTCATGTTGCTGAGCTGAAGAGTCTCGCTGACCTCCTCACCGTTGGCACCTGTCTGTTCCCACACGTGGTCGAAGCTGCCAGCAAAGGTTGGGATAACGTAGTCACTGCCAGTGAGATCAAGGTCCTCAACCTGGTACTCGTCATCATAGCCGCTGTCCTCAGGCTCGCCAGTAGTGGGGTCAATCTCTTTACTGGTAAACTTGAGGTTGTTCGTAAAGGAGATAACAGGAACGCTGTGCTCGCCAGCAAGTTTCTTGAAGGTGACGTAAACGATACCGGGCTCATTCGTGGCCAGCTTAGGAGCAGGAACGATGAATTCCTCCTCCAAAACATCTTCCTCTGACGGTGTCGCAACTACTGTCACGTCTTCCAGAACAGTGTCCGGCAGAGTGTTCTTAATGTCGTACTGCAGCACAACGTGCTCCTTGAAGATGTGCTTAACAGCCGTAACCACATACTCCGTCTCGCTCTCAGTAAGTTCAACAGGCGCAGAGGACTTGAGCAAAGTGCCGTACTCCTTGAGCTCTGGAATCTGCATAAGCTGTTCGGCGTATTTCTGAGTGGCGGCGACCGTGACGGCCTCGGCCACACCGTTGGCCTTGCCCTTGGGCGGGCCAGTCGAAGGTGCCTTGAGAGTGGGCGTCGCGCTTGTGAGCTTCTTGGTCCGCTCCTCAGCCAACGCCTGCTCCTGTGAAACAACCGGGATCGTGGCAACGTCGAATGCAGCATCAAACGTCGCCTTGTCTGTTGATGTAACATACATCACGAGCTGGTGCTCGAATGTCGAAAGCGAATACATGGATTCTGATGTCGTCAGCAAAGTATAAACAAGCCTAGTTCGCAGAAAGCTTACCGTTGCTGATAAAGCGGCTAGCAGTCTCATCCTCTTCGTTCATCAACCGCAGATTGAGGGCAGCACGATCACGCACTTCGTCATCGACGTCATCCAGGCATCGGGTGAGAAGGACAGAAACACTGGACTTGACTTCAGGATCCTTCTGTCCGACACCGAACTTGGCCAAAGCGGTCACGGCGGCAGCTCGCACAATGGCATTCTCCAAAACGACACGGTTGTAGATGTAGCGAATAAACTTGGTAGGGTGTGACGTCTTAGGGCCCTCCACACCAAGCAAGTGCAATATCCTGACTGACAACTTGGTGAACTCGCAGTCCTCGATGAATTCACACAGATGGGCGAGCGCTAGTTCTGTTAGTTAGCACCAAAAAAAGACCCAGAGCTTCCAGGGGAAAGCTTACCATCCTCCTGGCTTTCGGGGACAAACTTGATGAGGTCGAACATGCTCTCAACCACGCTGCGCTTGAACTCGTAGCCACCTTCATCTCTCAGAATGCCGCTCAGGAACGAAAGCATGCCGGCCTGCTTGCTAGGGAACTTGAGGCACAAGGTGCGAATGGCCTCTACAATCGTGATCTTGAATTCGTCCGTGATGTCTGCCATGAAGCCGGAAATCTGCTTCATCAGGCGATCGACGCTGGCCTCGTTACCGGTCTTCAGAAGAGTCGTGATGGCAAATGTAGCGATGGAACGGTTGGAGTTGGAGATAAGGGCTTCGATATCGGGGTTGCAGACGTTCACCACGTGAGGCTTGAAGCTTGCGAAGTTATGAAGGATGCGGATTGCCGCAAACTTGGTGATAGAGCGGGGCGAGGAAAGGAACAGTTGCAAGACATGGACGGCCTGGGAGGCTTCCGCGTCCGAGACATCCCTCATATCGCAGATGGCCTTTGCCGCTTCAAAGTTGACCATCTCATGCTTGTGTCGGAGCCAGCCATCAAGCATCTGCATCATAGGCTTTCTCAAGCCCTGGTCTTCTTCCGCCAGCTTAGCCGCCAACCGCACCAGAAGGACAAGAGCCGCGGGGCTCTTGACCACTCCAGCCGCACCATACTGCTGAACCATCTTCACCAGAGCCATACGGTCATGCGAGCGCATCTGGTACAGGAGACCAATGGCGTGGTATTGAGTCATGAAGTTCGATTGCGAGATGGCGTGAGCCTGAGAGCTGCCACCAAACCCAAGGAATCCAGTCGATTGCTTCCCGCCCGAAGCAGCCTCTTGCGTCTCACTCTGCCATCTACGGACCACATCGCGCGCGATCGGAAGAAGGTGATAGGAGGAGACCAGCGCTGCGGAGGATACCGAAGGGGTCTTGTCAACGATAGCGGTCTTGATTAATCTCTCGATACCTTGCACAGTAGTAGCCTGCATGAACGACCATTATCAGATATCTCGTTTGACAAGAGAGTAGGGGTTCCCAATGCGCTTACGTCAATGATGCGGCACAAGGCACGGATGGCATTTGCCCGATACAGAACGTCGCTGCCGACAGCAGTGTCCTTCATGATAATGCTGGTTGACATGATCACATCCTCCGCCGTGTTGGCAAGTTCCTTCAAGATCAGGTAGACCATTTGTCGCAGAGAGGGGTCCTTGTTCTGGAATAGCTTGGAAATGCCGAAGAACAATGTGGTGGCCTCGTTCGTGGGGAACTGCTCCCCGGTAAAAAGGAGGACGGCGATCTTGGTCAGGAGAGTACGGCATGTTCGAGGAGATATGGGAGATGAATTGAACAGTCGCGCTATAGAAGAGCAAGAGAAGAAAGTCAGCAATCACGTTCAGAGTCTTGATGCGACTCCAGAGAAGAGCGAAACTGATAGACCCTTACCATCTTGAAACACGGAGGTCCGATCCAGCTTGATCATGGACTGATCAGCGTCCTCGTCTTTCTTCATATAAGACATTGTGACGGGCTGCAGTGATTGCCGCAGCAGCACAGTTGTTTAATGGCACTCTCTAGGTTGGAAATTGGGCCCCGTACGGGTGACGTCGGGGGATTGTTCAATGGGAGACGAATAAGGGCGGGTCAGTATGATGGGTTAGTCGTGGTGCAGGCGGTGTATGTACACGACTATGGCGCCCTCATTATCTTTCAAAGACAAAATTGATGAAAAAAGAGGGGGGTGGCCAGTGAAGATATAGAGACACTTGCCCAGTCCCCGGAAAAGAAGCCGAAAGAGAGAACGACAGACCAATGGAGATAGTAGAGGATGGGTGTTTTGGCCAGGGCAGCAGCAACAGCAGCTCTCCCGACGGCCTCCAACAATCTCCAGGTGGCCTTCCGCGTCTGTGGGCGGCTGAGCCACAGGGCGGTGTGGCTGACTCTGCAAACGGAGCAAACACGCGGCATGTCTCGCCGCAGAGGGTCTGTAGAGTGTGTAGGCTGCTGTCTTCCTCCTTTACTCTTATCATACCATTTGGTAGATCAATAAATTCATAAAAGCTCATAGAACAGCCTCATTTCCGCCGCAGTCATGCAAGTCGAAGTCAACCCTAACGAGGATACCGAATGGTCAGATCATCGACTTCGTTCACCACCGTTAGCCATACAAGCTCACACCCCGCAGGAATGACATCCTCCGCAAGCATGGCGTTATCCCCGAGAAGCCCCAAGATCCCGAACCTCTTATCCAAGAAGCCCTTGTCGAGGCAGAGCGCAAGGCATATGAAAATAGACTAGAAGACAAGGATTTGGACGAGTTGGATGCACTGGAAGATGAAGAAGATGAGGATTTCCTCGAACAATACCGGTACTGAGATGATCGCTAGCATGCCCCTGACACAGGTACCAGGAAGTTCGGCTTCACTAACGATCTGTACCAGTCAAAAACGATTCGCGGAACTGTCTACACTCCAGCAAACTAGCATTCATAATCAAGTATACCCCCTACAAAAAGTTGATTACGCGCGCGAGGTGACCGAAGCCTCGAACAAATGCTTTGTGCTCGTTCATCTGAGCTCTTCAGGCGCCAATGTCGAATCGCAACGGTTGACCGAATTATGGCGGCAATTAGCGGCAAAGTTTGGTGACATAAAGTTTTGTGAAATTCGAGGCAACATGTGCATCGAAGGTTATCCGGAAAGAAACACCCCCACTATCTTGGTGTACAGAAATGGCGAGATCATGAAACAGCTCATAACCTTGCGGGAGATGAAGGGGCCAAGGACTACTGTTGAAGGTAAGGACTGTTCTTCATATTTGCTTCTTTGTTTCTAATACGAGCCCCGTAGATCTGGAGAAGATGCTCTTGGAATTAGGTGCCGTCAAAGAAAGCGATGTCCGTCTGAAGAAAAGGTCGGACTCTTCGGAAGATGAACGCCCATCCAAGCTAAAGTCCTCGAGGCCCACAGTGGAAGATGACGACGATGACTGGGATTAAGGAGGCATAATCAGAAAATATGAATTTGAGAATCTGGACGGTCGCGGTCCTCTCTCTCCGTGACTGGGTTCCAATGACCCTTTGAACCAGATGGGCATCGAATCGTATCCTTGCCGATATATGCACGGGAATTTTACCATGCATCACATAGATCACACCATGGATTCCAGCTTGATAACCTGGCAGAAAATTGGTCATGCTGGCTAAACCAATTTTCTACATCTTTGTTTGACATGTAGAGCTCCGTACCACCAGGGTTTCCAGCTTTCGGTCCGTTAACTAAATACCTATCACATAGTAGGTAGGCAGCCAGCGAGCCAAACTTTGAACACGAATGTGTTAGCACTCTATACTTTCTTGTACCTTGACAATTCCTCTAGGTTCTATCTCAGTACAGACCCAAGTATGTAGTAAGTAGTAGTAAGCGTCCGCCAAAGTGGGTCTCCGTGGCTGCAAATAGCCATGTGCTTGATTTTGTCATTTACGAAAATAACCAAATTTCTTTACATAGAGAAAGACATCTAGAGCGATACAACAGATGGCTTGTATATGACTTCAGCTGCCTAAAAATCAATATTCGGTCGATCGCTGCAATCCATTTCCAATGACAGCCGGGAGCGTGATATCCCTCGGCGGCTCCAAGTCTGGCTATAATTGGCTTGGGGCTGCCACCGGGCGGGTTTGTCACTGCGCGGTCCATCCCGAGTCCATCGCTGCCGTGAATCCAATTCTAGGCCCGGCTGACTCTCTCCCTCCCTACTCTTGGGGTTCATACCTCCTCATCAATCCACAAGAACAGCATATATCGTATCTTTCCTTCTCCAGGACGAGGCGAGATGGATTATTCATTCTATTCAAACCATCCCCAGCAACCTTATCCTCTCTACGGCGTCCACGGGCTGCCCACTCCCGACCAAGGCAATTCGGCCCCTCAAGCCGAGGCCATCCAGGGCGCTTTCGCTCCTTTGGTCGGTCTCTCTTGTCTTTGTGGATACTAAGCATATAAACTTCTCACGACGCTGACTTGTGGAAAGGGAGCGCAAAACTACCAGTCTTTCGATCCGAACTTGCGCTTTCAGGATCCTCACGCAGCCGCTGCCTTCGTTGCCCCGCCACACTCGCCTCCCGAGTCCCTCACCAAGCAGTCGGTCACCAGCAATGAATTTTCTAGCCAGAACGTTGATCGAGCCTCTTACGATGGAGATGATCAGCTCTTAGACCATAGTCTCGGTCGGAGCAGCAGCGAGGAGAAAGAGAGTCTGACCCCGGCGCAATCGAAGCGAAAGGCCCAGAACAGAGCTGCGTGAGTGGTTTCAGATCGAGGACTGTGTTACATGCCATAAACTAATCTCTGATTACTGAATCCAGTCAGCGCGCATTTCGTGAACGCAAAGAGCGCCATGTGCGTGAACTGGAAGAGAAAGTTAACAACCTTGAGAATGCATCAAACACTCTTGCGGCGGACAATGAGCGACTGAAGAGAGAGCTGGCAAAGTTTACGACCGAAAATGAGATACTTCGGGCAACATCAACTTCAATGCGCCAGTCAGGCCAGCGCTCCACCGATGAGGAACCGACAACGACAGGGCCATTGCAATACTCGCCCACGGATTTCAAATCCGATGCAGTTGGGAGTAATGGCCCCGCTCATCGCATCACCATATGCGGAAAGACGGGTGAGAAACTGCTTGACTCGGGAGCCACCTGGGATCTCATCCAGAATCATGAGCTCTTCAAGCGTGGCCTAGTGAATATTGGCGATGTCTCGGGTCGGTTGCAAGGTACTGCTCAGTGCGATGGGCAGGGGCCTGCCTTTCGGGAAAGCCAGGTCCTTCAGGCCATTGAAGAAAGTGCAGCTGCTGGCAACGATGACTTGTTGTGAATTTGCCTGTTAGCATGGATTCAACGATGCAATGTCTTGCTTCTTGGTCGCTTTATTTCGGTGCACAGGCGTCAGGGTTTGTTTTCGGAGTATATACCGCTTTTCACAAGCTTCATGGAACATATGCTGCGATTTGCTACTGTTTCGTGAAGTGGAGGACTCCATTGAGTCTTTCCTGGAGTCATTGGAGATTTAGGAGTGAACCATTATGCCTACTGCTACCAGAGTTCTCAAATTTGAACTGGTTTCCTTGTTCTCAGGCTCAGACTATTATTGGTTGACCTCCTGGGTACTTTGTTTGCTTAGGGCTACGTAGAACTGCATGTGCATTGCCACGGGGTTCTGTGATTTGCGCTATCCGGAGGGAATCCTCACCCATGCTGTGGTATTAACCTAGCAAGGACCCGACAAATCGAAGTCCACTGATACCTTACAAGGCATGTTTGCTCGACGATCAACTTGAGCTATGGCCCGGTTGAATGTTGAACATCTTTTGCCAGACAATGGCTCTTGAAAGCCAATGAGCATAACTCGCAAGATGAGGAGACAATCTTACTTTCTTCATCAAAACCATTGGGTATATCAGCTACTCCGTAGTAAACAACCTAATGTGTGCTGGCTAATCTGAACACGATGCATACATACAGCTGCACCGCTTGCGTGGTGTAGATCCAAGCGACGTTGCCCTGGGTAATCATGCGTCAAGGCAAGGGCGACATGATAGCACCATGCTTGTTGTATAAGACTCGGAGAAAAAGAGCGAGAGAAGAGTGGGATGTGTGGCCCCAATCAAAGCACTCCATATCTGGTTGTTTGTTTGGGGGTGGGAGAGGTGAGGCTAGAAACAATTACTCCAGACAGCACTACAACCATGACTTGGGGGGGAAAACCCGACGGTGCAGAAAGGGTAGATGCAGTCTGCACCTTCTATCTAGTAGTAAATGCATACGTGGATGAACGGAGTGATTCAATCTGCCAACCTGCAAACGCCAACGTTTCCTTTACCTGAAAGACTACTACAAAACACCCCGCAGTCGATAGCTTCGAACTCTTGGCAACAATTGACCTGTGCAGACCTGAAATTGACTGGTAAATTTCCTTTTTGTGTGCATGAGAAGAAGAACACACGGGGTCATTTTTTCTATTTCGTGGTTTCTGATGAATGTATTATTATTATATTATCTATGTGATGATTGAATTGGGATCATCGTTAGCGGTGAGACCAGGGATGATTATTTGCGGGATTTACCCTCAGATCAACTCCTGATTATTCCAGTTACTCAATTACTCAATTCGTTAGTGACTACCTGACCACCGTCGTCATCATCCTGGAAGAGGATCAGGTGATGCCAATGATGTTTTCTTGATCGCCAATGCTATACTATACAGGTGTTCCATCTTGAATCGACGTGGTACTACTTACTTGAGCTGCACGTTGATCTGGCCCAGTAGGTGTTGTTGTGGGAACACACACACCCCAGAAGTGGAGAGGGGGGAAGTTTACTAGTAGTAGAGACAAAAGAGGGAAAAGGGACGTGTTAGGTATTCTCCGATCCATCATGTCTCAGGCACTGATCGATGGTCCGATAAGGCGCGTGTGTTTGGGCCCCCAAAAAAGACTTCCCCCCAATTAACTAACACCAAACTAATTGAGGGCCCCCCGTAAGCCCACTGTATTTAATTTACCTTCACGAGGGTTGCAAATGCGGTATCCGGGGTCACCTGTTCACCGCCCGGGATCAATCGGCCATACTAGGAAAGGGAGACGTTCCATTCCGAGGGTAAAAGTACTACTCCAAGGTAGAAAGAATTAGGGTAATTTATGAGATGAGGTGAGAGACATTTTTTTCCTTGCCTTAACGACGATCGGGTTTTAAGGAGGCGAATGGTGTGGTACAGGGAAGAATAATGGGGTCTACACGGATGGTATTCATTTGCCTGGGGAATAAGCCTCTAGTTAATGGGGGGGAGGGGGGAAAGGTGTAGTACTAAGCATCATCTCATCATCGATTTGAGGTGAGGTGCTTTGGGGTCACCGCGGGTAAGAGGGGAAAAAGTAGCGTGAGGGAAATAATCATCCGCCACAAACCGCGTAAAAATTTAAATAGGTAGCTTTTTGGGGGTGATAGTATGGAACATTTGCTTTTGGGTTTTAGGTTATTTTCATTTCGTGATTACCCATATTCTTGCCACTATCGCCAGACTTTTTTTTCGCCGCCTAACATGCATTTTGGGTACTTCTAGAATGTCTTTGGATCAAAGCGGATCGTTTGCCTCATCTCTTTTCGTTTTGTTGCATTGGAAGCGAGGCATCTGGATGTATGAAATGGTTACATACGAGGTACAATCCTGTCTGCCTTAGGCAACCAGCCGTGATAGGTACAACCCGGATGCATCATGACCTAGTCCAATCCTGCTGGGCTGTCAAGTTCGTTGACTAGTTAACCTTGTTCAGTAATTACTAAGAAAAGCATCAGAGACCTACGCACAATAGGGTAGCCTCAAGAGATACCCGAGCTATGGTCAAATGCAAAATGTTTTGTGTGGTGAGAATCAAGTACGTAGGGAGTATTGAAGTTGCCCAGGCGTAAACTGCTGGATTGCTTCACCGACTCCTACTTCAGCCACCTCAAGGATGAATTGCAATTTCCACCCTGCTTGGTGAGAGCCTTGTCTTCATTCCTGGTATCTGCAATTCTTCCCGAAATGACTGGCGTTATCCTTGCCTTGTAGGACCCCAGTTATAGCCTCCTTTTCGGCCAGCCGCCGGGTATCAGCTTATGAAAGAAGGACAGCCTTGCTTTGAAACAGATCGGATGTTTAGTAGTTGGTTTGTAGTTTAGTTTTAAGGTAGGAAGTAGACTTAGTTGGTGTTAGGTAGGTAGCCTTGGATACGGTACGGAAGAGGAAATAAAAAATACCACATTTACGATACGCTGGGGGGAAAGGAAGGAAAAGTTGGGAAACAAGGTGACCAAAAAGCCAGACCCAAACAGGCCAAAACCAAGCGGCCAACCAACCACCGGCGGCTGCTAAACTTATCACAGTCAGTCTTGTAAGGTTACTTACTTTACTTTCCTTACCCGCCCCCTCCTCTCTCTCTCTCTCTCTCTGTCTTCTCTGAAGGCTGACCGGCTTGGCTGCTCTCTTTACTCTCGCATTTTCCCTCTCCTCTTTCTCTCCTCTCCTCCTCCTCTCCCTCCCTCTCCTCCCCCCTCTCTACCCACCTTCTCCATTATCAAGGCTCTATCCTTGAGTCTGATATATCCTCCTTTTCCTTCTCTTCTTGTATCTCCTATCTCTTGTAGGTACGTTGTGCTGCTTTTCTCCCTCGTCTCGTCGGTGACAGCCGCTAAAAGGTCTGTCAGCTTGATCCCCTTTCTTTTTCTCTCCGCCTTTTTCGCCTTTCCGGTCGGGTCGTCACGGTCGGTTCACCCCAACAGTCGACATCACCGCTATCTCATCTCTTCCTTCCCGTTTCTAGACCAGGTTCGTCCGCTTCTAGGCTCTCTTTTCTCTATTGCCCAGTGTCACCTATTCACTTGTTTTGTGCCTCTCCTCTTGCTTGGCTTGGGTGTCTTGCTTTGCTCTTCGTCCAAGCCGCCTGCCCTCAGCAGACTCGCTCTGCCAAGTGACTACGCGCCGGGATTCTCCCTGCACCTTGTCCTCTGGTGATTTTGCCATCTCTCTGGCAGCATACATTGCCCACTGCCTTCACGCCCCTCTTTACCCCCCTCTTCTTTCACAAAATACTCTTTATTCAACGCACTTCCTCGAGGGAATGATCTCATATTCTCCATCGATCTATAACTAACCCGGATACCAACCTTTAGTCTGCTCAACACCTTACTCACACAACACGACGGCGTGTCTAATTCATCAAAATGACGACAATGGTTCGTGACATGTGGATTCTTACTTCTTTCGATGAACAGCTGTGACTAACACTTCTGTAGGATCTACGTGTCGGTAACAAATACCGTATTGGACGGAAGATTGGAAGTGGTAGTTTCGGTGATATCTACCTGGGTGCGTGATAATTTTCAGGAGGTGAGATGGGTTATCTGGAGCAGCTGGCTGATTGTCCATTTAGGTACCAACATCATCTCTGGCGAGGAGATCGCCATCAAGCTGGAGAGTGTCAAGGCCAAGCACCCCCAGCTCGAATATGAAGCCCGTGTCTACAAGTCTCTTGCCGGTGGTGTCGGTATTCCTTTCGTTCGCTGGTTCGGCACTGAATGTGACTACAATGCTATGGTCATCGATCTTCTTGGTCCTAGTTTGGAGGACCTGTTCAACTTTTGTAACCGCAAATTCTCTCTGAAGACCGTTCTCTTGCTGGCCGACCAGCTCATTTCTCGCATTGAGTACATTCACGCCAAGTCCTTCATCCACCGTGATATCAAGCCCGACAACTTCTTGATGGGTATTGGTAAGCGTGGAAACCAGGTCAATGTGATCGATTTCGGTCTGGCCAAGAAGTACCGCGACCCCAAGACTCACTTCCACATCCCGTACCGTGAGAACAAGAACCTCACTGGAACTGCTCGTTACGCCAGTATCAACACTCACTTGGGTGTTGAGCAGTCCCGCCGTGATGATATGGAGTCGCTCGGATACGTTATGCTCTACTTCTGCCGTGGTACCCTTCCCTGGCAAGGCCTGAAGGCTGCTACTAAGAAGCAGAAGTACGACCGTATCATGGAGAAGAAGATGACTACCCCTACTGAGGTTCTTTGCCGTGGCTTCCCCAACGAGTTTTCCATCTACCTGAACTACACTCGTTCCCTGCGCTTCGATGACAAGCCAGACTACTCCTACCTTCGCAAGATCTTCCGCGATCTGTTCGTCCGCGAATCTTTCCAGTATGACTATGTTTTCGACTGGACCGTCTACAAGTACCAGAAGAATGCTGCCATGATCGTGGATGCCAACAAGAAGGACAAGGAGGCTGAAGAGCAGCAGCGCCGTCAGGGTGTTGCTGCTGCGGCGCCCATGGGCACCCCCGGTGCTGCCAAGCCCGGTGCCATCTCCAGCCAGCGCCGTAAGGTCATCGAACGTGGAACTCTTGACAACACGCCCGAAACCAACCGGGCCGTGGGAGGGAGTGACAGGATGTGAGTATCTGAAACCTAGGTTCCGTTGTAGGGAACCCCTTTCCTCTGCGTTTGGTGCTTTGTTATGACCCTGTGCGTAGAGGTCGGCTTGAAATCTAGAATCTGACTAATCTCATAGTCTTCGGCGTTAGGCTGCGTTCTGCTTCCAAGGTTGCTGCTTCAGGTGCTTATGGCCCTGCCGGTAGCCGCGCGAAGCGGGACGATGGGTACGGTTCTCAGTGGTACTGATTTGTACAGCATGGCAGTGTAGCTTGACGTTTCTACTTTTTTTCGGTTGCCGTTCAGCTTGCTGCGTGTTGACGCCACGCTATCTGAGGAGCCCAGGATTACCACTATACCGGCTATCTTCTGCAGCCTGCAGTGAACCTTTCGGACTTATTTCGCCTTGGGCCCCCGACTTTCCATTTTCTTTACTATTTCTCTCTCTGCATTCTCTGTTAGCCCGCCATCCCGTTCAAGATCGTCTTCCGGTTACTGCCGTTTCGATCCGTCGCGTTTATTCAGATCGTCTGCTCGTCTATCGGCTATGCTGAACCTTTCGGAACTACACCGCTCGATGAATACATCACTTGCAAAAACCTGGTTACGTTCATCATACACGAAAGGTCCTTGATAGCAGACTCGAAACGCTCTAATTGTGGCTATTCTACGTCTTAGCCTCCCGGTAGCGGTCGTTTCCACATGAAAATAATACGTTCATATTGAAGTTTCGCGTGGAGTTGCGCTGCCATCGATCGGGAGGCTAAAGACTGAAGGAGATGCAAAGTTGAAATGATTACGCTTCAAGCACAAAAAGAGATGTCTCTACCGCTGCAACTGTCGCGAGAGTCCCTCATCATGCTTAGCGACCATTTCCTTACAATGCCCCTGCTTTGATATTTCATTTCCTTTCTGCTTGCATGTTATTTCAGACTGTCATACTTTTCCTACTCTTGACGCACAAACGGGGACGATGAGAATGAAGAAACGGCTGGTGGAGAGGTGTTGGGGAGGTGCTTCTTTTTCCCACATGTCCAGGTGCTTTGGCGCTGGTCCTTGCCGAAAACAAGGGCAGCCTGTAGTGCTTTGGGCGGGGAGAAAGCGCGTCTCAAAATGGGTATGTGGCGACGGAAACTGGCTAGGGTCGCTTCCGGGGTGGTATTGCGTCGATTCCTGTCACTTTCACATGTTTTTCCTTGTGTATCGTCTCAATTGTTAGCATCGGTCATCTACATACTGAGAGGGGGTAGTTGGTGGGATCAGCCGGGCAGAATGTGCTTTATGCAGCACGCAACTGAGCCGGTTCCCACTGACTCGCTACCCAATCAGGAACTATACATCTCGCAATCTGGTACAATGATGTAGAACAAGAATCTCGACGTAGTTGACTCTGCTGTTAGTCGCCACAACTGTCCGATAAAGCCCGCATAATGTCTACCCCTCCATTTCCTGCATTCCAAAGCAGGATGCCTTGAGCAATAAGCAGGACCAAGAGCAGCTTGCCACCTATCCATACCCAATTGAGTAATGCAAGGCCGGTACAGCCACCACTTAAACACATCATATGACATCTTCTATTCTATGTACGCATTACTCACGTTATGTAACTTTACAAAATAGAAAGAAAGATCACATCATAAAACCAAGTTAGGCATATACACTCCCTTAGGTAGTCCACATCTCAATACTTGTGACGATGTCCAGCAAGGATCTGTCTCCCCTGCTGCCTGACTCACTGGAATCCAGTCTCATAGTGACTAACTACTATGTTCTAACTTAACTATTGGCTGCTGCAGTTTACTCAGTGGTAAGAGTAATTGAAGGTGGGCATGTACGCCAGCCATATGTTCAATGAGGATCTAAGGGTATCTATTAAATCTATCTTGAGTGGTGGACGCAATACAGTATGGGCTTACGAGTTCCAAGTCGTTTCGGTGGGAGAAAATCAGAAGTAGATTCAGACAGAGGCGTCGTTAAGTTAAAAAGTAAACAAAGTAATGGAGGAGTAGTAGTAGTAGTAGTAGTACAGTCCAAAGTATGGAAGGTTGAGAAAGAAAAGAAAAGAAAAGAAAAGAAAAGAAAATAGATGAAAGGAAATGAAATGAATAAAAAAGGTGGATGGGGTATAAAAGGGAAGGAAACAAGAACGAAGGGGGAAATGGGTTGGTGAGAGTTGAATAAATAACAAAGGTTGAGGCTTATTGAAAGGCAAAGAAAAAATGCTTGTAGCCACTAGCCATCAATCAATCAGCTGACTCGTGACATATACCACACACATACACACAGACACATTTGATCTCTCATCATAATCGGAGACAGTCATGTCGTGTTTAGGACATGCTTGCTGTTACATGATTCGTACCGGAGTGGCGAGGCTCGATCTTCTCTGTGGAGCTGGTCTCCTCGTCATCCAGACGGCGCCTCCACTCGGCTAGACTGTCGCTCAGCCCCGTCTCCCTGGTTGGGGTTCGATCAAAGTCGGACTGCGTACTCAACCGATAGTTACGGTTGTTGCTCTCCCACTGAGTGCGCAAGGCTTCCAGTTCGTTTGCAAGCGAGTCCAGCGCCACCGAGTTTCGGTTGTCAGGGAAAGCGTCGTCTTGAGACACGGCACTATCAGCCCGGGACCGACGGCCCGCACCGATAGTGTTGCTTGAGGCGTTACTGTGAGTACGAGAGATGCCGTTAATTCCTTGGACAGGCTGTGACTGCCGACGGTAATGCCCGACTGACGCCTCAACCTGGTCAAGCAGCATGGTAACCTTCTGCTCGGCATCGGACGCACGATTCTCCAACAAGGCGTTCTCCTGCTTGAGCTGCTCCAGCTCAGAGCGGCTTTTCTCTGCCACAGCAGCAAGTTCCTGCTTGATACTTGCGAGTTCGGATTGCGATTTGGTCTTGTCAGCCTCAGCGGCCGCAGCCTCTGCTCTCAGCCTGGCAACCTGACTCTCAAGGTTGGCGATGGAGGCTGCTGTATCTTCCTGGAGATCGGAGATTGACTGCTCGAGTCTCGAGCGTTCGACCTCCCAGTCAGCAGGAGCTTGCGAAGACTTGCCAGACGATTCAGCAAGAGCTGTCTGTGCCGCGTCGAGCTCCGACTGAAGCTTGCCGTTCTGAGACTTGTACCGAGCAAGCTCATCCTTCATGCGCTTCAGCATCTTTTCAGTGCCCTTGACGTAATGAACAGCCGACTGGTAGTCATTTTCTAATTGCTCAAGCTTCTCTCTGTATGCGCGGTCGGCTTCCTGCTCACGAGTCTCGAAAGAGGACTTCAATTCTTCGTGGGCTTTCAAGCTGGTGGAAAGCTGTTGTTCCAGTTCGCGAAGCCGACCTTGCTCGGGAGTTCCGAAACGAGACCCAGGCGACTCAAGGGGCGAGCGTCGGCTATCGGCATAATTGACCCCACGCTCTCCCAGAAGGTCCTTCAAGGCAGCATGCTGGACGGCCAGAGCACCGGCCTCGCGCTGGTGGTTCTCCAGCTGTGACTTCAATTCTCTGTTCTCAGCAGAGTGGCCCTGACTTTCCTTCATAGCTGTTTGTAGCTGCCTGCGAAGCTGCAAACCCTCCCTACTAGCCTGTTCCTGATACGCCTCCAGTCCAGCAATCCTCTCCTCTGCACGACGGAGTTTGTCTGCTGCTTCATCTGCAGCAGCTTGACTCGTCTTTGCCAATTGGTTGGCCCTCTCTATCTGAGCTTCCAAAGCAGAAACCCGCTGATCGGACAAGGAGCGCAAGGATGTTTCAGAATCGAAGGATGACGCACGCTCAAGACCCAACAAGAACGCATTCTTATGGGTCTCGGCTTCCCTCGAATGACTCTGCATGAGCTCCTCGGCATCTCGCAAGCGACGTGTGGCGTTCTCTAACTCTGCTGACCTTTCTTCGTGCTCCGAACGCAGCTGCAACAGCTTCCTTTCTAAGCCTTCACGCCGCTCACGTTCCTCATCTAGTTGTCTCTCCAGAAGTTGGGACTTCTCAGATGACGCGGTAACAGCCTCCCGCAGGCCGCCGAGGTTAGTGCCATAGTCCCTAAGACGGGTGGAAGAGTCCTCGAGTTTCTGCAGAAGTTCCTCTTTGTCCAAGGACAATTGCTTCACTGCTGAATCGGCCTCCGATCGCAACAGACTTTCTTCCCTGAGCGACGCCTCCAGCTGATGAAGCTCCGCCCTAAGACTTTCAGCCTCTAGTTTACTGTTGTGCATTTCTAGTTCGGCCAGTCGTCTCCGGGTGGCTTCACATGTCTCCTCCGCAAGCTCACGGCCTCGCTTTTCCTGATCAAGTTCAGTGGTGATCACTTCCAGCTTGGATTTGAGCTCATTCTGCGACGCGAGAGCCAGAGCTAGCCTTCGGGTTAGATCTGTGCCGCGTTCCACAGACGTATCTTCGGATTCCTGCGCATTTCCATCCGGTTGCGGGGTGCCCCTTTGACTTCCACCATGAGCAGCCAACTTGGCACGAGAGTAAGCGGCTTCATTGACAGCAACATCCCTTTGGTGCTCCACCTCTGCAACACGTTTAGATGCGATGGCCGCCTGGCGATCGACTGTGGCCTGCATTTTGGCCAGCTCTGCTCTCATGGCAAGGAATGCTTCGATCAACGGGCGATCCTCATCCGCAAATGCATCTGCGGCACGCTCATCCACACCAACGCTGTTGGCCGGGTTGGGTGCATACCCGGCCTTCTTAGCCAACGCAAGCTCGGAAGCATACCATGCATTACGGCTTTTCACCGCTTCCAGCTCTTTGATTAGCGCTTCCTGGTGGGGCGTCAGTCTGGGCGACCGTGGTTCATCTCCAGATCTTGAATTTCTGTAACTCCTCGACTCCGTTGAACCATCGATACTAGCATGTTTACCAAGGATGGATTCGTCGGCACTGTCCATAGAACTGCGTTGCCGGTGCTGGCGCAAAGACCGTTGTCTAGTTGGCGCACTTATAAGGGGTGCAGCCTCACCAGCTTCCATAGCCTTGGCAGACATTCTTGATGGCTGCTGGGTTGGCGTACGGCGACCGCCCGATGCGGCACTCGAGTCTTGCGCCGGTCGGGCTTCTTTTGGCGAGTCCCTGGCAGCTGGTGATTCTCTATCCCTGTCGGGCCCCATGGCTCGAGCGGTATCCACAGGCGGGCCTCCATAAGCACGATCCGTCTTCGTGGGCGTCTTGCTTCGGGGATTCGTGGCATTCTGAGGAGTGTTGCCCCTTTGACCAGGTGTAGGGGCCTGTCCCGGGGGAGGAGGCCCCGCGGGGGCTTGCGCTATCGACGCTCTGGGCAGTCGGGATCCGGGCCCTGGACTAGGACCAAGGTCCGCTGGTCTACCAGTAGGGCTGGTCATAATGCTCTCCCGTGACTGGGGGGGTGGTCCACGTCGTTGAGCGTCAGGTTGGTTCTGAGATTCCCGCGATGTCCGACCCGTCGGTTGCATTGCACGGTCTCCACTCATCTTCCGCATCGCTTGAATAGGAGCTCTTTCACCAGATTGGTTCTCAGCTGGGTAGCGAATCTTGGCGGTATCTAGGATATATGCCATGCTGAGTTCGACAGGATCCCTCGGCGCAGAGCTCGGCTCACCCGCCAGAACGATGATTTGCTTTCCAAAGGCGGTCATGCTATGGCCAGACCTTGGAGAAGGCGCAGGCCCCATGTTTTGGAAAGAATACCATCGTCGCGTGGAGATGCGGAATGCGGCCAAATCCCCGAGGTCAATACCTTCGTCGGTTCGTCCTCCAAAAATGTACATAACGTCGTTGACAAGAGCCGCAGCGTGCCCTTCACGAGGTGTTGGGATGAAGCCGACGCAATCCAACTGAGTCCAGGTGTTTGCACGAGGGTCATAAGACCAGACATCATTGAACCATTGCAAGCCATTCGTTCCTCCAAACCTGGAGCAGGGTCAGAAATCGAGCGCATCCATCAGAGGGCAAAGAGGGTGTAGACGAAGTATAGACACTTACAGATACAGTTTGTCGTTGAAGCTCACTATTGTATGGTTGGTTCTGGCGGGCGGAATTTGACCGGGCGGAGGGCCACCTTCGTGGCTATTCCGAATAAGGAATTCCCACTTGTTCCCCGGATTCTGAAGCTGGTTCAAGTCGAAACAAACCAAGTCGTTGAAGAAATAGCCTTCGACCTGTCCACCAAAAACATAAAGTCTAGAGCCAAGGATGTTGAGAGTGTGGCCGTAACGCCCAGCAGGTCGAGGACCTGGGGGTATCGATCTGGACCATTGACGAGAAGCTGCAACCCAGACATGTTAGGAATATGAACACCCCAAAAAGTCTCAAGTGAATGAGACTGTTGCATGCATACGTACATGTGTTCAAGAGATAGAGCGTGTCATCCAAGGTGTCGGTTTCGTCCACCTTAGTATCGCCTCCAAATACGATGAAAGCGTTACCAACCAGCAAGCTGGCATGGCCGACTCGCGGGCCTGGCCCTTCGGAGACAGTAGCGATCGGGAAACAGGACAAGTTACCGCCGCTGTTTTCCATCATCCACAAATCTCCCTTGACAGTTGATCCATCTATTAGGCCACCCATCATGTAGATGTCGCCCTCCTTCGATGCCACCGCATTGATTGCTGCTCCATAACGAGGGAATGGATTTGTCTGGGCGGAAGTGAAGTTCACGCGTCGTTGCGACCATGGATACAATGATGCACCTGGGCTACCGTTCGGGGAGTTACTTGGCGCCGCCTGTTGTGGTCGTTGGCTCTGCGTATGATCAGCCAAGGCTCGGAAAATGAGTAGCACTCATCACAAGCAGAACAGGACACACAATGTTGAGTGTCACTGAGGGAGAGGATGTGGGAAACCAACCTGCGATTCGGATTCGGCTCTCTGGCGCATCCGCGGGTGATCGGGGCTGTTCGTGCCGTTCAACGAGTTCAAAGAATTATTATAGCTACTGCTGGGCGTCGGGGTCTGGGAATGTGATCCATCCCGTTCTTTGGCGCCGCTAAGCTGCGCAGCTGCTGATGGGTTTGGGCTTGGGTTTGCCGGCGGCCCTTCTGAAGATTGGACGTTTCTTGACGCGGGTGGTAGGCCAGAACCCTGCTGGTGTTTCTTTGATTTAAAGAGGAATGCCATCGTTAAGATTGAGTCGTAAACGGTCGTCTCAAGTACAAAGCAGCGGATCAACGGCGGAAGTGTAATAGGGAACTGGGGGAGTCCACCAGCTGCACCAGGTCACCTGTACCAACAGAGTTCCAATTGCAATGCGATGGGTATATTATAGATCAAAACAAGAGATCCCACTAAAGACCGGCAGGAGGATAGCTCAAGAGCGCCGGCTTGTTGAACGTTATGAAGGAGCGAACGGCGGGGAGAATTGAATTCGGAGTCGAAAGCAGAGAAACAACAGTAGGGACCGGCGTTCGTTCCTGACGATGCTAGAAAGAGCAGCTAAAGGCACCCCATTCAAATCGACCCTTCTCTTGAAGCCGCTCAACGTATCGATTCGGAGACTGAGAGTGTTGTTCTGTCTTTTTTTTTTTAATTCCGAAAAAGCCTCATTGAAATCCGATGGCGACACTGACAGAGCATGGAGAGGGGTGGAATATAGAAAATCACAAGAAAACAGACAGGGGTGGATAACAGCAAACGGAACGGAACGACTGCGACTAAGGACAAGCAAAGAAGGCCGACGGAAAAGTGGACAACAGAGCACCCAAAGACGAGAAGAACATCAACAAGGAAAGAAAGTAAAAAAGGATGAAGGTGCGCGAGTAAGAAGTTGGGGCTCTGGACCTGGAGAATTGGAGGAAGAGAGGAGAGGAGAGGGAGACGAGAGAAGTGAAAGACTCCGGCGTTTCACACTTTCTGGCCAGCCAGCATTAGATAATTATCCTCTGGGCTTTTGGCAGCAATTAGTTTTAGTTTAGGGGGGGGGAAAGGCAGAAGAAGAGCGAAAAGACGGATGGGGATGCGGACCTGCCAGGGCGACACCGCCTCATCGCCGTTCTCCAAGGCAGCTTCTTACTTGCTTACTTTTCCGTCTTGCGGGAAAATTAATCTCATTTTCCTCCCTGTCAATACATCCCAAAGAAAGAAAGTAAAAAAAAGTAAATAAAGGTCAATCCATCCTCCCACGAGGCGTTTCCATTCCCCAGACGTGGTGTTGGTACACCCACCCTCCCATACCTTAACTCTTTCTTAGTTACATTCCCACCTCTTCCCACCCTCCCCGAACCACCTTACAACCTCCCCCATCCATTTCAAGCCTCATTCTACTACTGAAAGGCACAGACAGCTAGATACAATTAACTTGAGATTCTCATTCCCCTTGTCTTACGGGTGGATTTCCATCAACTCCCTATGAATCTTCTGTCAGGATCTCATTAATCTGGCTAACAACCAGATTTCGGTCGATCGGCCTTCAGTATAAGCAATGCAATTCGCAACTGCCGACATGTGTCTGTCGTTGGTCCACTCGGCTTGTCGCTCCACATCGCACCCAGTTATCTGCTTATTCCTCGATGCATGAACGATAGAGGAGATGTGAAATGCAGGGGTGTCTACACAGACTCGGTCATCTTGAGGAGGGAAACAGGTATCCTCCATTGCGAGCCAGTAATTGCAATAATACAATGTGAGTGGATGTGGGTTGAGCCACTGGTCATGCAGGAACCACCGCGAGAGGTTGGTTGGTTCCCTTGTGGCTCCCGAGCCACATCATCGACACCCCGAACATTCCACCTGGCAAACAAAAACTCATCGGCTGGGCAATGTACGGAGTACCGCCGAAGAAGTTTCTTAAATTATGATTAGTCCGACGATGATATCACATTGGCCACGATCTGAACATCCCTTGCTGATTCAGGGCTATCTTCGATGCAGGAACAAGACATACTTATTTCAAAGTACATTACGGACAGTAGCAACACTCACCTGTCTTGCGGGCGGCGCATTTTTGGAGAAGAATACCGCTCTACGCTATGGCCTGACCAGCCATCACAAAGCTTGCTAGTATCCATGGCTCCATATACTCCATATACCTTTGGTCTCTGGGCCCAGACATCCGGCATCAGCCGGACATAGATGCCCCATTTAGCATCAGACAGAGGGCGGCTCCATGTCCCAGACAAGCAGACATAAGGTCAGGTTTAAGACTGGAAGATGCGCGAGGGACATGAACTTTATTTAGTATGCAGTAAGCAACGATTCCGTAGTCCCATCCCTTTGTTATGAGCAGCTCCCGACTAGAGCTGAAATCGTTGCAAAGCAAACAAACCGGGGTCATCATAGTCGGCATGGCACTGGCTACGTCACAGTGTGGCTATAGTAGCCAGCAGTTCGCAAAACGAGGTATCTTTGTCTACAAAGCACTGCGACGCTTCGGATAGGTGAGCTTCTGTTGGAGAAAAAGAAGCAAGCATCATGGTAAAAGTCGAATGTGTCGGTCTGATTGGCGACGGGCATATTCAGGGATTATGAATCAGGTCGGTTCAAACTCCTCCACTTTCTAATTCTGGAGGGCAGTTGATCAACGGTAGACTACCTAGCGAAGCTGACTGGCTGGGGAAATACGTTGTAAAAGTCCGGACGGGTTAGCGCTGGGGGAGGGCCAGGCTTACAGACTTACAGTTAGCTCCGCCCGTAGCGAGGCTCCTCTCATACAAAATAGCTCGGGACGCTGCCAGAAAACGAAAAACCACGAGATTGAGCAGGGCGGAACCAGGGGTTGAACCGTCCCAATTTCTAAGGGGGGTTAGGGAAAAGAGAACCACTAGGGTCAAGCAGAGATCACATTGGTCCCGGCAAAAGGGGCTTGGTCCGCATTATCTGGCCCATCATTCCCACGACAGGCGAACTAATTTCTGGATTCCAGACAACGGTCGGTTCGATCGATATCTACATACCCTGTGTGGTTTAGTGGCTTATTCCAGTAACCACTGGGACCATGGGAACCGCCAGAGATATGATTCTCAGGCCACTGGGCATGGGGCGCTGAATGGCTGGCCCCCCCTTTCAAACCTGCTATTTAGTCTGTCTCTAGTAAGGGACGCAGAAAGTACTGACTACTAGTTACTAGCAGACTGGTAGCTACAGTACTTCTTTACTACCTGTCAGTACTACGTAGCAGGATGCCACTACCCTTCCTGTCGTAATTTGCAATGCTCCCATCTCTCAATTGGTTTCTTTCAGGGCGGCAGTGGCGCATCGTGATCTGGGCGCTGACGGGTTTGTTTAGTGCTTTTTCAGATGTCCCGTGATGGTGTGCTGCCTTTCTTTTCCCCTTCATCTTTTGCAAGCCACTCAGAAGCCATCACCCGTATCGGGTTCCCTAACTTCACCACCAATGAGGTTGGCTCATACCCATGGATGAACATGGCCCAGCCTGCAGGGCTTGCAGTAGCCCCGTTCTTACCACTTTAATTAGAGCGCATTTGGGGGTGCAAAGAAGGTCGGCTGAAATGAAGCTGCGTCCTTCCGAACATACCTAGTCGTTATTCAGAAGTTTTCGGTCGGAAAAGTGCATCCAGTCTACCCTCTTACATAGTATTGGCATACCGACAGACATGGGCAGAGTGTTTCACACAGAAGAACGACTGAAACGAAACGTGATCTGACGGCCCTCCGATCGCCGTTAAGCCTACCCGTCTTGGTCCCTTGTCTCTGTTCTCTCCCCCACGCCTCCTTACCACCACTGTAGCAGGGTCGCGAAAATATATTGCTACTGTGTACGAAGTATATACTAGTAGTGGGGGAAGACAAAAAGCGCAATTACTAACTAGTAGAGCATAACATTTTTTTTTCGCCACTATTTAAATTTCATTTTTGATGTCCGTGTATGTCTTGATGTATCCAGTTGCATCCTCAAGATTGTATTGGGGAAGAAGCATATGAATCACAACGTTTTGATAGAGTGTGAACCGTGTCAATGCCTCTCCTGAACTCCTAATATAATTATAGCTTGGGTGGGTAGTGGATGGAGTAGTTAAAATGATACTGATCTAGTCCGATTTAGGTACGTATGAACAACGGAGTTCTTATCCATGCATAGAGCTGGGTACGCTTAGTCAAGCTGCTAGGCATGTGACTTGTGGACTCTGTAGTGTAAGCTTCCAGGTACCAAGAACAATGAAAGAATGAATGTGAAAATACATGGTTTTGAAGGGAAAGAAAAACACGCATAATTCCAATACCTCCTCCACCGTAAAGAGTAACCAGACCACCGCCTCGGTAGAAGAAATATCGTCATCCATGGGAGCTGCCTAATCCAGTTAAGCGCAGGCGTTGTTAGATATGCTCCGGGGACAACGATGTTCCGTCCAGGCCATGCCAAGAGGATCCCGGCCAGAGCTCATGGTTCTCGCCAACCAACATCATCAACCAAGTCCCCCGCGTCTTTGGAAGGGAGTATCAGCAGTTTCAACGTTCTGGGGAGACCGAATCGCCTGGTGTTTGAGTTCTTTTGGATTCCCTGAACGTGGCAGAGCTTCCTCGCCACAGGGCGTCCTCCCAACTGCTGGCTGCTGACTGCTGACCCTCCGGATTGGGTATGAGAATCGCCTGGTCCCAGTGCATGCACTGTGACATGAGTATTGATAAGGTGAGAACATATTCACCCGCGCATTTGCCCTACAGTCGACGCCTGGGCAACACCAACTCCCCGCATGTGAGATTCTCCATCATCTTTGACTATATGCTAACTTCTCCGCATGTTCAGGTCCCGGCCAGCTTCGTCCTCGTTACTTCACGCTGCATGATGACCTTCGATGTATAACAGACCCTCATTGATCAGAATTCAGAATGGAGCCCACAATCCAACAGGCATCGCATCCCGAACCTCGGAAAAGTCATCACAAGTCTGTTCGGGTTGCCTTTGGTCCGGATCTAGAAACACACATTCCCCCGCGTGACAGATCCCCCGCTCCTGTTCCAGGACATCACCGATCATTTACTACCGTGGAGCACAAACAGACTCCCGTTATCACCCCCGAACGACCGACTAGCTCATCTGCAGGCGAGAACCCGCTGATCATCGAGAACAATGGCCGACTGACTTCGGATCGATCGTCGGATTCTGCAAGACCGATTGCGACCCTGAAGAGGGCCCGCAGCGACTATGGGCCCAGAGTGGGGCTTGATAAAGCCATTGCTGGGGATGAGGAAGAGGACATTGCCATGAGACATGGATGGCAGGAGGAATATACCTCGAGCGAGTACCTGAAAGTCCTGCACTCGGTAAGCAGATGCAACGGATAGCTAAGGCTTACAATCCGGTCGGATCTGACTGCTTTAGAATTTCTATATGTATTTCACAGAGAAGCGCCACGAGACGAACGGTATCCCTAGGGATCCGGTCGGAAGCTGGCCCAGCCAAGACTGGCGCATGAAGGACCGTCTGAAGACCGTCTCCGCGGCGCTAGCCATCTGCCTGAATATTGGCGTCGACCCGCCCGATGTGGTCAAGACGAACCCGACAGCTAAGTTGGAATGCTGGGTCGATCCCACGTCTACTACCGGCGGTGGTCACAACAAGATCATGGAGCAGATCGGAAAGAAACTGCAGGAGCAATATGAGACACTTAGCTTAAGAACTAGGTACAAGCAATATCTTGACCCCTCTGTCGATGAGACGAAGAAGTTTTGCATTTCTCTGCGCCGTAACGCCAAGGACGAGCGGGTGCTGTTCCACTACAACGGCCATGGTGTACCTCTCCCTACTCAGTCGGGCGAGATTTGGGTCTTCAACAAGAACTACACTCAGTACATTCCGGTATCCCTCTACGACTTGCAGTCCTGGCTTGCAGGACCTAGCCTGTTTGTCTTCGACGTATCGCATGCAGGGAATATTGTGTCGAACTTTCACACCTTTGTCGAGAAACATGAGAAGGAGAACGCAGAGGCGAAGAAGCGGGATCCAAACGCCATCGTTCAAAACTACGGGGATTGTATCATCCTCGCAGCA